AGTACGGGTTAAATCTGACCCGAATTTAAGACGCGGTCTAGACCTTAGCACGGGCTAACGAAAGTATGCGCGAACGCTTAGCCCAGGGCTAAGCGCCCTCTGCGGCGACCTTTGGGTGTAAAAATTGTCCCATGTTCGTATAACGACACTATTCCACCAGTCATTACTCCGCGCTCGCTTCCACACTAATCGGGTCACTGTAGTAGAGCGTACAGCATGCAGCAGCTCCAATCGTAGACAAAATAAATTTGGTTCGCTGTCTATGACATGCATTAATAAAACTCTGTATTCTGTTACGCCCGTTGTATACTGTTTATGTGCATCCAAATAAGTTGGGTCCGTCTCCTCTCATGTTCCTGTGCACGTCGCTTCAAAATTAGAATGAAACCCGGGAACGAAACATGCCAGCAGCAGAAATAGAACCTCACGCGTGTCATCCATTTTTTCGTTCGTAAATAGCGGCACCTCTTAGCCCATGCTAACGACTGGCCTCCCTGTGCGTGGACGCAATTGGGTCTAGCCGAAATGCAAATATGCTAGATAAGCCTAAATCAGCTTAAATCTTAGCCCGTACTTTGTGTAACGTGAACACAACTCATGAGTGTTTCCAAACATTTGAGTGGTTTGTCTCCGCCCCTGTTTGTTTCACAGATTAGTCATTTGCATATGAATGCGTTAGACACAAGGTCACACAGCCACTGAAAAAAAAATCATTGATTTTGGTGTTTTCATATGTCAAATTTATCCAATTATAGCTATCCCATTCCTTTATTTTTTTGGTTTCCAATAGCCTTATACATTTGGATGTCCCTACACATGTTAAAACAGACCTTGATGGGAAAACAAATTGATTGTGCCGATAAACAAGCTTGAAAATCTTTGCTGTTACTTCATGGACGTTTTCTAGGAGTTTATGTTTTGAACAAAAAATAACGTATACTTATTGTCATCGGATTAACACCAAATTTTTACAGTTTTAAGGTGACAGTGAGAGGAACTTGAATGTGTCCAGACAAACTATTTCATCGATTATTTACCAACGAGTTGTGGTTTGAGTTGGGGGCAATGTGACTAAAACAGTAATTGAAATTCAGCACACTATTTTTTAAAACTCGTTGCTTGAATAAAACTGACCAGACACATTCACATTACCTGACTATTGAACAACTAGGAAAAGTGAAAAAAATACTTCTTATCGCCAGCATAAATGCGTAATTATTTTTTTTACAGAAAAAGTAATTTTTCACGTAGAATGCAGATACGGGCATGCAAAATACACTTGTGAAAAGCTTGAAGTCTGGCGATTCTAAAAATATATACTTTCCTGGGTCTATTTTGTAGTCATTTCGTCACAATTAGAAGATGAAAACAAGTATGCAAATAATAGTCCTGCTACCTTAATTCACATAAATTTAGTAACTTTATTTTATATTCTCACATTTAGGATGTATCATTTCACTCTTGTGGCAGTTAATAAAAAGTAAGCCAGAAACATCAACTAATTCATACAGGGGAATGATTGACAATTTCTCAAGCAACTTGATTTAAAAATTAAAATAAACTCTGATTCACACCTTTTTGTTGAATCATGTCCCAAAACATATTATATTATGCAACATGTTTACAGAAATGGCATTCACAATACTAACAATTGAGCCATCCAGGGGTGCTGAGAGAGTGACTCACACAAGTGCAAACCAGCATGTAAGTTACCCCCCACAGCAAAGTAACAGATCCACACACTGCATATAGATTTTGAAACTACCACCAGCCATCTTTTACACGTCTGCACCCTTCCAGGCCTGGCACCTTAGGAGTACTATTACATGCACCAATCTAATCAAATGGGTTTAACAATACAAATAAAATCAAACGGGCTAAAAAATAAATATATATTGCCTTTTGTGATTAGAGATTCAATCACAGACAGTGTACCATAAATGCTACAACCACAAAAGTAGGGCCATTTACAGATACAGTGATACAAACATATATGCTTAATATATACATAAACTTTATCGCTGTATTGTTTATTTAAAGCTAGGATACTCAATGTTTCACTGTTGTATCCACAACAAACTATCCTAGCCCCCCGGGTTCAACAGTCTCAAGTGACTATTATAGCAACAGGTTATTTCCGATGACAGCGAAAATCTTGCACCATGTTATAAAACTAGTCTCCCGGAACCCCAATTCATCCCCTCAGGGTTTTTCTCACGAAGAGTACCCGAAAGCAATTTACGCAAGGTTATTTCGAGAGGCGAAGCAATAAATTAGTTTGGTCACACCACCTCTTGCTTGTACATATATGTAGGAACTGTTAATAAAAGTTGTAAAACTTAAGTGGCCTCGTTTCTTTTTTTTTTACAACTTATTTATAGTGTCAAGAAATAAAATGAAAGGTAAAATACAAACAATGAATAAAGTCACAATCCAATAGATGCTAAGACAAAGTTAATGAATTCAACAGGATCTACATGTACATGACAAATTGAGTCATTGTACTTTTAAAAGACAGCCTCCGAAGCAACTTTAGGCTGTTGATAAAGGTCTTACCTATTGGAAAACTTGGGAGGGGGAAAGGGACACTTCAAATATTTTTTATTAGCATTTTTCCAATTCTTTTACAGTATGCAGTTAAAAATGTGTTGCTATCCATTCTCAACAATTTTTTATCCATAAAATTTTCCATCCCACTTCCCAGTGATTAAATAAGGAATCTCTCAATCTCCAAAGGTTGTCTGGAGCTTCCATGATTTTATACGATTGGATAACTATAGTTAATTTTGGTTAGCTTACGCTTTAGTTTTAGAATTAGTATTTGATCCCTCCAAATTAAATTCTGTTGAAAATGTAATCACATAAATAGAAGAATATAAATATAATATTTCTTCCGATAAAACATAAGTGCTCAGTGCAAGAAGAGCCAATCATTGTATGCAAATTTCATGCAAATAATATTTTCTTAATGCATTGTTTACATCACATGGGACCCACACAACTGTGTCAACAGTAATAACCATAAATGGTCTCATTTTGGCTCAGATTTGGTAGTTGTGTAGGGTGCCTCTCATTACAGTACTCAAACTCAAGAGAATTCATTTATCACAAGATAAGAGTTCAGTTTAAATGTTTTATCATCCCCCCTCCCCTCCCCTCCCCTCCCCATCCCCTCCAACAAACTTGACAAACTTCTGTAATTTTTTATATCATTCAAATATGGGAAATATTTCTACAATGTGCAGAATAAAATATGATTTTGAAAGTTGCAAGGTTTTGGATAACATCCCTTGTCATCACAAATTGTAGTAAAAAATACACTTTTGTACACTGGACTTCAGTTAATCTACAGATACATTTGAATATTGCTATCACCGGAGTCCTGGACTTTTGAATATTCATGATTATACCTCACTTTGATGTGCGTTTCTACAACGGTGATAACAATAATTGGCTTTGGTCCAGTTCTCATTGTTTTGCTTGGTTACAACTCATTTTAATACGCATGGCACAAACAAAAAGACATTGAAACACTGTTCTCTCTGTAGACTGGTGGCGAAACTTTGGTGTTTTCACCCAGAGGTAATTACGCATTTGGGTAGCAAGCGCAACATTTGTTGTAGCCTCAGTCATTTTTTTCATATAGACAAAAGATCGAACTCTTGACACTTCTTTTGCTGTGTACAGCGGACTTGCAGCCATTTCAAACAGACCTTTGTTGACGTGGGACAATGATAATAAACAAATATTATTGGCTCGTTTCCAATTGCGAGTAGATGGGTTGATGTCAGACTTGCCGCCTGGGTAATGTGTTAAAATTGATCTCCAGTGAATGGTGTTTTTACAGTACATTTGTGTACAGGCGCCAAGAGATGATGTGAAATAATTTATCTGTCACAAAATAAATAAATGCTTGCTTAGTCTGGCAGGGTGCCTAAATACTTTGTGAGCAACAATTTTACTTTAGTCATTGTATATACCAAAATGTACTTTTCTAAGTGAAAGCACTGAAAATTCTATTTTATTTCGGTTTCTAAAACATGTGCATGCACATGTATTCTGTGAAGAAAAGTGATGTCTCCATCAAAATCTGGCTACCTGCTCAAAAAAGTTACAGGCTGGTAATTATTTTTGTCAAAAGTAACATTCCTCATGATGCAAGTGTTAAAATTTTGTTTAACTAAGCAATGAATTTTACACGGGATCCATAATGAACACATCACAGTATGCCGACTGTGGCACTGTAAGCTACAGAAAACATAGTTCACAAGCAGTATGCCGACTGTGGCACTGTAAGCATACAGAAACCATAGTTCACAAGCAGTATGCCGACTGTGGCACTGTAAGCTACAGAAACCATAGTTCACAAGCAGTATGCCGACTGTGGCACTGTAAGCCTACAGAAAACTATAGTTCACAAGCAGTATGCCGACTGTGGCACTGTAACCATACAGAAACCATAGTTCACAAGCAGTATGCCGACTGTGGCACTGTAACCATACAGAAACTATAGTTCACAAGCAGTATGCCGACTGTGGCACTGTAAGCATACAGAAAACATAGTTCACAAGCAGTATGCCGACTGTGGCACTGTAAGCATACAGAAACCATAGTTCACAAGCAGTATGCCGACTGTGGCACTGTAAGCATACAGAAACCATAGTTCACAAGCAGTATGCCGACTGTGGCACTGTAACCATACAGAAACTATAGTTCACAAGCAGTATGCCGACTGTGGCACTGTAACCATACAGAAACCATAGTTCACAAGCAGTATGCCGACTGTGGCACTGTAACCATACAGAAACCATAGTTCACAAGCAGTATGCGGACTGTGGCACTGTAACCATACAGAAACCATAGTTCACAAGCAGTATGCCAACTGTGGCACAGTAACCATACAGAAACCATAGTTCACAAGCAGTATGCAGACTGTGGCACTGTAACCATACAGAAACCATAGTTCACAAGCACACAGAAACCATAGTTCACAAGCATACAGAAACCATAGTTCACAAGCATACAGAAACCATAGTTCACAAGCATACAGAAACCATAGTTCACAAGCATACAGAAACCATAGTTCACAAGCAGTATTCTGATGGTGGCACTGTAACCATACAGAAACCATAGTTCACAAGCATACAGAAACCATAGTTCACAAGCATACAGAAACCATAGTTCACAAGCAGTATTCTGACTGTGGCACTGTAACCATACAGAAACCATAGTTCACAAGCATACAGAAACCATAGTTCACAAGCATACAGAAACCATAGTTCACAAGCAGTATTCTGACTGTGGCACTGTAACCATACAGAAACCATAGTTCACAAGCATACAGAAACCATAGTTCACAAGCATACAGAAACCATAGTTCACAAGCAGTATTCTGACTGTGGCACTGTAACCATACAGAAACCAGAGAGTAAAAAGTAGAAAATTGAAACAAAGACAAAGGAAATATCTAACAGAACTATCTTTCATATATGCCAAGACAGTTAACATCCAATATTTATTTTGCTCAAGAGAAAACTCCCACCACTGTAAAAGTTTTCACAATGAATCTCATCATTGCCAAAATGTGCAACTTTTATTCAAAATTCAATACAAAGAAAACTTTTTAAGGGAAGAAATAAATTTGGAAGGACTTTGTTTTGCATGTATAAACAATAACGTATATATGATAACGTATTCTTTACAACTTATAAGTAAACTCTACAAGTAAAAAACATGGACAACATGATACTATCCCAATTACAAACCATCCACAGTGATTGAAGGTCTCTGTCCATTGTCAACCTAAACCTTTTGTCAAATTGAGTGATTGGTGCGTGCGAAGTGAGAAAAAAACACTTTCACCAAGTTAGTTGATCTGAGTTGCAGGAAGCCAGAAGCATTGGCAAGCTGCCAACCATTCATGAATCAGAGACAAAGTCGATCTAACTTGACCAACCAAATGAATTGTTACTATTTTGACACAATATTAAGTTTCAAACTAAAGACTAGGCTTGGCTCATCAATGGCCGCCTGGTATCTGAGACACGATTTTACGCTAAACAAATGAGCATTTCAATATCACAACTGAGAATCTTTTCATCACATCTTCTTTTAAGATTGGCGCTCATCTTTACAGATTGTATTTATAACTGTACCGAAGAATCAAACTGGAAAGTCAAGATGAAGATCTAAAAATAAACTTGTGCAGTTAACTTGCTTTGGCGATGAATCAATTGAGTATTGAATTATTATTAAAGTTACATTCAGAGTGTACTTCACTGCAACAAACTAGTTATACCATCCTCTCACAAGATATTTTATTTAATATTTCATATTTTGGCACTGATTGGCAATTTGCCAACATTATTACCTGGTCCATATAGACACATCAGTGAATACAGTATAGAGTAAACAATATGTACCCATTCTTTTACACAAGACAAATGTATTGCAGCATGGTTATTTTTAGCCATCTACTTGCATTGATTGGTAAACTATTACTGAACTGAACTGTGAATGCGGCAGCTATTTACTCTATTAGAATGCCCACATGTATGCATAATTATGTAAATTACCAGGGTGTGTATATATTTAAAGTCTGAAATTTTAAATTTTTTTGATGCGTTTGTTTGTCAGTAAATTTTATTATTCTGTCTGTTTGTGTATGTATTAGTTTTTTTAAGGGTAACAGGAAAGATAAATGAAAACTTACTTTATTTCAGCTGTACTTTATTGTCACGGAAACATCCCTTCAGCAAAAATAAATTCTGAGTGAAAATTTTACAGTACATATGCCCTTTTATTAGTCCTTTTTGAACATAACAAAACTTTTTATTTGGGCAAAATCCTACGAGCAATAATTCTTCACTAAAGAACAGTTTGGCTGGACATGGCTAACAGAACAAGGTTTTTATAACTACCATTAACTTAAGGGAAGACACTATACAAAGTGGGCATGATAATCTTGTTGAACAGGACATATTTCACACACATATTTCAGCTAATGATAAGGTTCCCCAAACATATATCAATATTTGGAGCAACAATGTACCTGATACAGTAAGTTTGTTAATTGCAATATACTTTATTTTTCGAATAGGCAAAATCAACAAAATCTAGTAAGTATATTTCCGACTACATTTGTCATATAACTCAAATCTCAAGTTTGAGAAAAATTTCATATCAACACAAAATACATTTCTTTCAGTGAAAATATATTGCAGCAGTAATAAAAGTATTTCAGTACAACTAAGTCTAGTATCTATCATAAAAAGGTGGTTGACATTCTGGCTAGAATCTTCAAATTATCAAATCTGGCCTTTTCCATTAAAATAAAAGCTCTACAAACTCGGATTTAATTTCTAAATATGCAATATATATTTCAAAAATATTAATATTATTCTTTAAGATTTTTAAAATAAAAAATTAAAGTGTTTCTGATCCCAAAATAATAACATTAGATT